AGGCCTTTAAAAAATCTTAGAGAATAGATATTTGTATTCAGGTCGGACAGATGAAGAAATTGGAGTTCAGAGAGAGGAATTCACTTGCCAAAAATCACACATTAATTGGCAGAATTTGGTTTGGAATCCAAATGTTTGATTCTGAAGGTAGTTCCCTTATCTAGTAAACAGAAGTTAGAGATTGTGTCAATGGGTGTGCCTTGGAAAGGATTTCTGTATGCAAAAGACAAGGAGAGAAACAAGGGAAGAGATGTCCCACCTTGGCATCGCACCATATTAATCTGGTTGGATCCAGACTGGAGACTTCACTGGGCTCAGCCTGTGGCAACCCCAGCTGTTCTCTTCTCTCACCTCAGTGGAGGTCCCCCGGGGTATGCCATATTTCTCTCTGACATTCTCAGAATAGTTTATGATTCATTTTTGGAGTGTGAACTTTTTAACTCTTTTCCTGAGGAAGAATTGCTTCTTCCTTAGCAGCAGGTCTGGATGGAAACACACAGGACTTACATGGGAAAAAAAAAAAAAAGGAGGGACACCCTTTGGTGTGCTTCAACTCCTGTTGTCCTCATAAGTGTGACTTACTGGAGTCTAATAGTATATTAGCTTGATCTGGAGATCATCGGTACTAGAAGGGACTTTATTTTCACGAGAGAGAATTTGGCCAGGAGCATGGATAGAGAAAGGAGATCAGGTCCTGCTACTTTGAGTCCTGGGTTCTTTACATTCCAATTTCATAAATCCATGGTACTTGACTTGGTGTATTTTCCCAGCATAAATTCACGAAGAGCCAATGTTTTAGTTCAGTCAAAGGAACTCATATATTCCATAATACTTTCCTAATTCTATTCTTAGGGCAGAAAGCTGAATTGAGTAGGCCCTGGGTGACCAATAAGTAAAACGTCACAAGTAGAAAATTCTCTGGACAGAACTAAATATATATTGCAAACAATTTATAAATATTTTGTTATTTGATGTTCCTAATAACCCTGTGTGAGAGAGATTATCTCCATCTTACAGATAAAGAACTTAGGTTCAGAGAAAGAAATTAACTTGTGGAAGGTCTCACAGCCTATAATGGAGTGAATCTAGATCAAGTTGACTATAAAGTTTGAGGTCTTTTCACAGTTCTGCAGTCTCCAGGAGTAATTCATTTTTATAAAAGGTTGAATTTCTCCAGAAGTACAAAGACTCCTTGATCAGCATCTGGGGTGGTGGGGGGTTGGGGGTTGATTTGTGATTTCTCAGGAGGGAAGAGGAAGGACAGTGATAGCAGCTGTTATGTCCCATCCATTCCCCATGTCCCACCCCTCTGACATCATGGGCCTGCAGCTCATTTCTGGAAGGCCCCACCTAGAGAGGCTCCACCCAATGGCCCAATACCATGGAAATGAGCCCATCGTCTGGGCCAGGGGTGTCAGTCCCTGCTCCCAAGGCAGAGAATGAAGCCAAAGGCTGCATACATTTCAGGCCAGACATCAGAGCCTAGGACCCAGAGGTAAGGTGTTGAAGGCATCCAAGAAATTCCAACAGTTCCATCTCAGTGACTCAAGATCATAGTTGTATGGAATGCTCTTCAAATGGCTCCCTGTAGCATTCAGAATAAAGTTTAATCTCTTATCCTGCCATACATGGTACTTCATGATCTAGCTCTAAGCCTAGTATCTGTCTTCTTCCCATTCATACCTTTTCTCTAACACATCAATGGCCATGCCTCTTTTCACAAGTTGATCCTACTGTCTGGAATACCCATTACTTCTTCCTTGCCTGGATGACTCCAACACATCTTTCAGCTTCTTGGCCATCATACCCCTTCTGGAAAGTCTTCCTGAAAGTCCATGTTTGGAAGAGGTACCTGTCTTATTAACAGTACTGTCCTCTGTTAATGCTTCTCTGCTTGTCTGCTGTGTCCCTAAGGATGTAAGTGATCCTGAGCCAGGGTTGCATTTTAATCCATGCTGGTGTTCCCAGTGCCTAGGAAAGGCTGGTCATAGCTGGAACAAATTATCTGGAAGAACTGGTGGGTATTTCTCATCACCGAAGTGAAAATCCTTTTCATGGCAGAGTGTACATAAAGGTCATCATCTCCCATCCCAGAGTCTAATTCACACAGACATTTGGGATCTCGGGGTTTTCTTCCTCCCTTGATTCTCCCCTTCTTTTTTTCCTACCCATTTCTTACCTGAATTTCCTCTTCTCCTGCCTGGAATATTAGCTTCAACCCAAAGGAGTGAGAACTGCCCTTAGCCTTCTAATTCAAGCCAAACTTGGGCAACCTGGCACTTCACTAGAAGATGATAAGTCTATAAAACCCTTAGACCTTCCAAGTCTTCAGAGTGGAACATCAACAAGCATAAGTAGCATATCTCTTCCTAATACTGACTAACTTTTGATATAGTTTTGCACTGACACAACCTTCATGTCTTTACTCTAACTAATGATCTCTTCTCTGCAAAGGATTAGGGGCAGGAAAAAGAAGGAAGTGAGAAGGAAGTCAAACACTATCTTTCATGTAAATATTTAATGTACAACAGAATGGCTGGCTGGCTGGCTGGCTGGATGAATAAATGAGAGACAGGATGTGTGAATGCATAAATAAATGAAATGCCCATTGGTTTGGCCATGGCCCCTGGCATGGCAGTCCAGGTCATGTTCCTGCTTGCTCCCCATGCTTTCTCACTCTCTCACATTCCAGGGCCCTGAGCTCAAACACTGATTGGGATTCAGTTATTTACAGAGTCCTACCTGATGGTGATCACAGACCTCCTATTGTCTCTTTATTCATAGTTCCATGTTCCTAAGCTCGTCTACTTGTTAGTGCACCCCCTCCTCGCTAAGAAGGCCACAGAGCAGAGTTCTCCTCCATCTTCCCAACTTGGTGCATTTTTAGGCACAACATCCATGAAGCCTGAGTTGTGTAGGATAGGACATCCCTAGGGAGCACTTAGGAGACCCTGATGGAAATGAGTTCAATAAGGATGGGGTGCTATGGGAAAGCCAAGCCTTTTATCTTGCCAGGACTCTGATGGTCAGAGAAAGTCCATGGAGGTGAAAGGCTGGTGTAACTATCCTCTTATTTGCTTCCTTCATGTGAATTCCTAATTCTTTCTTTTCTCTCCTGATTTTAGCTCTCAGCTCCAAGTGCTCCTTGCCCTCCCTTTGGGCAAACTCCTTTAGGATTCAGTGTCACCTCTCCCTAGAGGTCTTTCCCATGTAAGAGTTATATGCCCACTCCTTGTGACAGACACAGGGATCCACTGCCCTGCAAGAAAGGAGTGTGATCATCTGCAGCTGTCAGCTCCTCTAGGGTCAGCTTGAGCTGTAGAAAACCACTTTTCCTGGAATCATAGCCCTGATATTCATCAGTACTGAGTGAGGCTGCAACATAAAGGGATTTTCATCGTTAGCCTCAAGGAAGACCTCACTATTGGGCACTTTGCTCCAGAGCCCTTTGCCAGGTTGGTCTGTGTTGAGGTTCAACTTCTTCCTCTGCCCAGGCCTGCTCCTTCCTCACATAAATGTCCATCACCAATAAACACTTTTCACCCCAAATCCTTCTGTGTCTGTCTCTTGAGACCCCACCTATGACATCCATCTACAAAGAACAGAGCATAGTAGGAAACAGAGCTTTGGAGTGATAGAAAGCACAGTTTGAATTTGCTCTTTCCACCTTACTATGTATGTGATCTTAGGCAAGTTAGACGACTTCTCTGAGCCTCATTTCTTCCTTGTGTAACGTAGAGGTAATAGTTCATACCTCGTAGGACTCCTGTGGCATCACATGGCAAGTACATTTAAAGTGCCACGTGCCCAGTAAGTGTTCAGCACATATTAACTTTTAATTCCTTGTGCTCCTTTCATCATGGTACTTATCACATCTACAGTTGTTAAAAATTTGCTTGTTTTCTGTTCCTTGGAGGCAGGGACCATTTCTTTTTTTACTGTGTTCTTTGTACCTAGCACAGATCCTGTATGGAGTAAGCTTTCAATAAGTGTTTGTTCAATAATAAATTCATATCCTGATTTTGTGGATGAGAGGGCTGACCACAGAGGCCACACCAATAGCAATTGGCACAGCCAGAATTGGAACCCACCTCTGGCTTCTTTAAAGCAAATGATATTCTATCATTTGACTTTCAGAGTCTGCATGTAAAGATAGGGCCTAGAAGTGCTAAAGAATTTGAATTTTGTCCTGAGAGCTATGGGGAACCATAGCAGATGTTTAATTGGGGAAATTTCACAGTCATATTTACATTTAGGAAAGTCACAAAGGGTACAGGGTGGAGGAAGACAGAAAGAGGTATAGTCTGAGGGGATAGAGAATGTATCAATTGACTATTGACTGCATAAAAATTACCCCAAAACTTAGTGGCTTGAAACACCAGTATTTCTTTAGGTATGACTTATCCAAGGATGGCTTGGCTAGTCCTCCATTTCAGGATCTCTCACAAATTTACAGTCAGGTGTTAGCTTGAGCCATAGTCAACTGAGGCTCAACTCAGAGAGGAGTGGCATCCAACCTAACTCACATGGTTGTTGCCAGAATTTGGTTCCTTGCTGACTATTGTCAGGAGGCTGCCGTTAGTTTGTTGCCATTGACCTGTCTGTTCAGCAGCTGACAACATGGTATTTTTCTTTATCTAAGCAAGTAAGAAGGACCAGAGAGAGAATGACAAGTCAAAATTCACACTTTTTTGTAACCTAATATTAGAGGAGACACCCCAACCATTTGCTTGTCTTTTGCTCTTTAGAAACAAGTCAGTAGGTCCAGTCAACACTCAAGGGGGAGAGGATTACATAAGGGCATAAATGCCAGTGAGATACTATGAGTTGAATTATGTCATTCCAAATTTATATGTTGAAGTCCTAACCCTTAGTACCTCAGAATGTGACTTATTTAGAGATAGGCTCTTTCCTGAGGTAAAAAATTAAAATGAGGTCCCTTACATGAGTCATAATCCAATATGACTGGGGTCCTTATAGAAGGGGAAATTTGGAGGGGCGCCTGGGTGGCTGAGTCGGTTAAGCGTCAGACTTAAGCTAAGGTCATGATCTCAAGGTTCGTGGGTTCGAGCCCCGCGTCGGGCTCTGTGCTGACTGCCAGCTCAGAGCCTGGAGCCTGTTTCAGTCTGTGACTCCCTCTCTCTCTGACCCTCCCCTGCTCACGCTGTCTCTCTCTCTCAGAAATAAATTTTAAAAAAACATTAAAAAAAAAAGAAGGGAAAATATGGAGACCGATATGCACATGAGGAGAACACTGTGTGAACATTAAGACAGCCATCTACAAAGGAAGAGGCCTGGAGCAGACTCTCCGTCACAGCCCTCAGAAGGAACCAACTCTTATAGTACCTTCATCTCAGACTTCTAGCTTCCAGAACTGTTGGGCAATAACTTTCTGTTGCTTAAACCACTCAGTTTGTGTGGTACTTTGCTATGACGGGCCTCGCCAGCTAGTACAGGGATCACTGAGGGCCCCTTCAGAGGCTGCCTCTCACAGAGGTCTTAAGACTGGTAGGTCTAGCCTGTTGTTGAGAAAGGGCTGATCCGAGGGGCGCCTGGGTGGCTTAGTCGGTTAAGCATCCGACTTTTGCTTGGGTCATGATCTCGCGGTTCGTGGGTTCGAGCCCCGCGTCGGGCTCTGTGCTGACTGCCAGCTCAGAGCCTGGAGCCTGTTTCAGTCTGTGACTCCCTCTCTCTCTGACCCTCCCCTGCTCACGCTGTCTCTCTCTCTCTCTCTCTTAGAAATAAATAAAAAACATTTAAAAAAAAAAAAAAGAGAAAGGGCTGATCCGAGAGATGAAGTTAGTTGGTAGCTGATGGACAGAGTGGGAGAGGGAAAGGAAAGGTGTTTGCTGTGCTCACCTGATTTGCACATGGTCTAGGTAATAGTAATGAGGACTGAGGAATGGGCATTAAGCACCCTGTTGAATGGAGTCCAAGTTATTGAAGGCAAGAACTGCCTGTGGTTCTGATGCCACTAGAGCTGAGCCACTCTCCTTTGTTTGGCAGGTGGCCTGGCCTCTGTCTTAGAAGAGGCGGGACATTCAGATTCAGCATCAAATGTTTCTTAAGTTTCTATTCTTCTTGGCAGTAAGAAAACAGAGATGAATAATCTCCCTAGCTCACTAATCTGATGAGTATCCTGCAAGCCTTCGATAACGCTGGATCACTGAATAAAGCACAGTTCCGTATCACGGCACATGCAGCTCACCACCCTGGAGGCAGGCCTACCCCTGACTTCAAGGGCTCTCCTCCTTCTGTTCTCATTTCTGCTCCTCTGTCCTGTCTCTGCTGCATGTACTGTCCTGGTCATAGTGAATCACCTCTAAGTGTCTATAAGATGGGTCATTTTAAGCCTCTCTGCTGTTTATTCTGCCTGGATTGATCTCCTTTCCTTCCTCCTTTCCTTCCCCCCTTCCTTCCCTCCTTCTTTCTTTTCTGTCTTTCTTTCTTTCTTTTCTGTCTTTCTTTCTCTCTTTTCTGTCTTTCTTTCTTTCTTTTCTGTCTTTCTTTCTTTTCTGTCTGTCTGTCTTCCTTCCTTCCTTCCTTCCTTCCTTCTTTCTTTCTTCTCTCTCTCTCTCTCTTTCTTTCTTTCTTTCTTTCTTTCTTTCTTTCTCTCTCTCTCTCTCTTTCTCTCAAAATTAAAAAAATTCTACTTGATTAAATTCTATCTTCTCTTCACCACCAAGTTGAAATGAAATGTTCCTCCATGAAGACTGTATTTTTCCCTTACATCCCTTATTTTGTGGAAGAGAAATAATAATTTTTCCTGTTAGACAATACATCCTTTGAAGGGGGGATCTTTGTCTTTTCCTTTTTGTTCCCCCATTGCCCAGAACCTGGCTTGTAGTAGAGCTCAGTCAGTGTCAGCTGAATGAAATAAATAATTAGGGAAACAAGAGAGTGAACAGAAGGTGGTCCTTATGCCAGCGAGAGACACGTAGGTACATAAGCAGTTTTAGTACAAAGGGCCAAGTATTTTGTAGCTAAATTCTAAACAAGCAGGGAGAGCAGAACATGTCCACTTTGCCTGGGGAACGTAGGAAAAACCAGGGAAGGGGTCTTGGAAGGGATGATAATGCTGAGTCTGAAAGGAAGGTCAGATTGTCCTCAGGGGGCTGAGGGGAAGACATTTGCAGCAGAGAGTATACACAGGCAGAGAGACATGGTAGGGCTAGCTTGTTACACAGCTTGTTGCACAGAGAGATGTGTTACACAGCACCGTGGAGCCAGGCAAGTGACAAGCACAGATTGCAGGCTCCTGCAAATATGGAGGGCCTAGAATACCATCCTAAGGAGGTAGTGCCTGCTGTCACTACATCACTGCACACTGGACACAGAGTTGCTTAACAAGTTAAAAGAAAATGACGGTGGGCAGTGCCCACTCTCATGGCCACTTCTTAACTGCTTTATCCTGGACCCACTGTGCCTTTGCTTGGATTTACAACTTGCACTCATAATTTTTTATCAAATTTAAAAGACCATTTTATTGCACTTATTTACTCCCCTCCCCCCCAGGATTAAAAATAGCACAGACCCATTTAAAAAACTGGAAAATACTTTAAAAACAAAAGAAAACCTGGGGCACCCGGGTGGCTCAGTAGGTTGAGTGTCTGATTTTGGCTCAGGTCATGATCTGATGGGGTCATGCGAGCCCCATGTCAGGCCCACTGCTGCCAGCGGAGTCTGCTTTGGATCCTCTGTCCCTCTCTCTCTCTGCCCCTCCCTTGCTCACCCTCTCTGAAAAATAAATAAACATTAAAAGCAAAAGAAAACCCTGTATCAATACACGTAAATACAATCATTGTTTATAAATCGGCAATTTTATGTAATTTCTAAACACAATATGAAAAAAACAATTTTGTATGCTACAGTTTCATCTAATAATGTGCCATGAGACCTCTCACGTGTCACTTGTTTTGGAAGGGACCAGTGGTTAAGAATCCTCTCTTCGTAGAGACCTAGGACATGAGAGGCAGCTAGAAAGCAAGGTGCTGGCTCTGTGACTGGCATAACAGGGCTACAGATGTGTGGGCACAAGGCCTTCCTACTACCCTCTGAGCAAGGCTCTCCCGCACTGCAGCAGGTATCCACAGCTGGCCCAGGTGCAGGAGCCCCACCCATCCTTACCCTACGCTCAAGCAGAGAATGGGTGATAGAGGTGGTGGCGTGACTGTAGATAGGCTGGTTCTGAAAAAGACAGGACCCACAAAGGCTGAGGTGGGCATGTTTCAAACCTACTCATCAACTCAGATAATCATCCTTCTGGGGAGGAATAGAACTGTTCCTCACATACTTTTCCCTCCCAGCAGAAGGCAGGAGTTTTCTCTTGTCTCATCTACTCCCTCCCTTCCTGAGCCTGGCACGTACAAAGCCAGAAAAATAGGTTAAGAGCACCTTTAGCATAGCTGCTGTTGGAAGCCGTCTCTGACAGGCCCCCAAAGAGCCCCTGGGTTCCCTATCATATGCCTCCAAAGCTCCCTTAACTCAACCTGTGTCACTAGTACTTGTCCTTTGGCGTCAAAGGGACCCATTGTCTCCTCTTCCTCTCGTGCCATAGTATGAGTTCCCTGAGAGCAGAGACCCATGATTTTACTCACTCTGGGACTCTCAGACCTCAGCCTAGAGTCTGGTACAGATCCTGAACCAATGCTTGAGGAATGCATGAAAGAACATACCCAACTTCCTTTGTTTTGTAAACTCACATCCCATCTCTGGCTCTGGAAAGTTCCTATGTCTGGCTCATTCTGTCCCTAGGCATCACCTGTCTAGTGAGGTCAGATGCTCAAGGACAAGTAAGCCCAGTGACTCCAAGGGGGTGGGAGCCTGTGCAGCCTGGTCAAGTCCAAAGGCAGAGTCCCAGAGGACTCGCTGGAAGGCGCATGATGTAACCACATCTCCAGAGCTGGTATTAGACCCCTCTAATTTGGTTTTGAAAACATGTGGTTTTGTCCTTGTTCAAATATTGATTTTAGGTAACTTGAGCCTGGCAGAAAAGGCCTCTACCGAGGCCAGTGGGGCTGTTTGTTGCCTTAATGACATTTCTGTGTGTTTGTATAACACGAGCTGGCGGTCGAATTGTCGCTCCCAGGGAAGATTTACGGGACTTTACACTTTGGAAGATATTGAGGCAAACTGTTGATGAAGGCCCAGGGCATAAATCAGACCCACTCAGGCCAACAAAGGACACTGTGGAAACCTTGCCAACTGCCTCTCTTCATGTGAGTGAGGGATTTGGATTAGGTCAGCTGGTTATAGAGTGTGTTCCCTGCAACCTCGGACTTCAAGGAGCAGGTGTGGGGAGACAAGTAAGAGGAGTGATTTTTGTGGGAGACTGGGCAGGCAGGGTTCCATGGCCTTCTAGGACTTTTTCAGTTTTATAATCATTGTTCTTACCTAGGTCTGTGCAGGTAAAAATGAAGATTTGAGAAGCATTCTGACATGGCTTCCAGACTTAAAACTCTAGCACCAAATTACCCTGGGTCCTAACAGGAAATGGATGGCTCCCTTGAATGGGGTTCATTGAGAATTATTAACAAAGGTATTTATGGAGGTAAGGGACACAGACAAGGGATGATGAAGTACTGGCAGCTGGGTACCAGTGTCCTTAGAGGGAGCCAGATCTGTGCCGTGGCTTAACCAGAGAGCTACCTGATAGGAGTTGGCCTCTTGCATAGAGGAATACAGCCATTGCAAACCAACCAGCAGCCTTGAGGGAGGGAGCAGGGAATAAACACCCAGATCTCTCTCTCTCTTGTCCCTGGATCTTCTGAGAGTGCCTCCCACTTGCCAACCCCAACTGGGAGCCAGAGGGTTGATGGGGTCCACAGAGGCCAGGCTCCCAGGCCCAGAGAGATGGAGGTGGAAAGTGGATTTGTGGGGGTAAATGAAAACTACTCAGTCTTTATCAGATTTGTAGACCCCTGTAAGATGGCGGGAGGTAGAAAGCTCTGCTCCTCCTCCACTCTCTGTCTACAGCCAGTCTTCACCTGAACATCTCCTGTCTTCAGCTACCTTGTTTCTGTTTTTAATCAAATTGGTATCTGGCGATTTCCTCAAATCTTCTCCTGTGCTATGAGAAATGATTC